GAGACAGACAGACAGACAGATAGATAGATAGATAGATAGATAGATAGATAGATAGATAGCTAGATAGATAGAGTAGATAGACAGACAGACAGACAGACATAGATAATAGATAGATAAATAATAGATGATAGAGGTAGATAGATGATGTAGAGATAGATGATATAGAGATGATAGAGACAGATAGATAATAGATATACAGACAGACAGACAGACAGACAGATAGATAGATAGATAGAGTAGATAGACAGACAGACATAGATAATAGATAGATAAATAATAGATGATAGAGGTAGATAGATGATGTAGAGATAGATGATATAGAGATGATAGAGACAGATAGATAATAGATATACAGACAGACAGACAGACAGACAGATAGATAGATAGAGTAGACAGATAGATAGATAATAGAGATAAATAATAGATAGATGATAGAGATAGACAGATGATATAGAGATAGATGATCTAGAGATGATAGAGACAGATAGATAATAGATAGATAGTGTAGATAGACAGACAGACAGATAGATAATAGATAGATAAATAATAGATAGATGATAGAGATAGATGACATAGAGATAGATGATACAGAAATGATAGAGATAGATAAATAGATGGATAGATAGACAGAAAGAAAGAAAGAAAGAAACGTTGTGCCAGATATCATTAATACATCATAAACAAATTACGTAATTGTGCCATTTCCCCAATTATAAAATGGTGTCTCATTTTGATGTTAAATACGGCTTCTGGTGGACACCACTTTGCTTCTCAGTAGCTCACTCTGTTTTCCATGTTTCTTGTCCTGCCAGAGTCGGAAACGATGAAAGTATCCTTCATACGCGGAAATTTCTTTCCCAATCAACAGACTCCTTGAATAAAATCAGCCGGGTAAATGAATCCATGGAATCGTTAACAGATGAAGGTAAGTGACCCTGTTGGGGAAATAACTAGCTTGGCTGTAGGAGAAAAGCTAAAGGACATTAGGAGAGGAAAGAATGCTTTCACACATGCTAAATTCTCTGCACGAAGAAGATTAACTAAAAAAAAAGTGTTACCATAGATCTCTTTTTATTCAACTAAAATAATGGAGAAACCGTTGCTTATTCTGCAACGTTCTGATATGGACGGCCAGACTCTAACATTTAGCATCCTTCACCAATAGCCATATGGGTTGGTACTGCTTGGAGTTGATGTCCACCGATGGTTGGAGGGCGGTCTGCTGCTTCCTTAGCTGTAGATCATTGTTTCCAAACCTGGTAGACTTCCAACTTTCCCAGCCAGCCTTGCTCTTGTTTGGAACTCTGGGAACTGAAGTCTAGATCCCTAGAAATAATCCATGTAGGACATATTGCTCTAAACTGAAGCATTTGCTACATTCTACACTGTACATAAAAGGCTCTTGCTTACAGAGGAGTGGTGCGGTGGCCTAGAGGGGGAGCTCTCGCCTCACAATCAAGAGGCTGTGAGTTCGATCCTAGGTAGAAGTAGATATTTCTCCCTCTGGATGCTTAGAATATATCTGCCAAACAAAACTCTGCATTGGCGACAGGAAGGGCATCTGGCCATTCAAACACTCCGCTAGCTCCATTCAGTTGCCCAGACTCCATCCCACAAGGGAATATGGGGTCGTTAAATGACCATAATGATCTAGTTGCTTACAGAGCAAGTAAACCTTACACTGGACTGCAGCGTGTAACAAGAAGGATACTTTGGGCATAGCAAACTAATAAGATAGAGGGAATCTATGCTAAATGATTTTCATTTTAACTGCCCGCTTGGGACCAGTGAAATGCTTAAGCATTGCAATGGGCTACTTTGTTAGCTGATAAATATTTTGAAATCCAGGCTGTTTCAGAGAAACAGGATTTTTTGAGGGGTGTGTGTGAGGGAATAATTCCTCTGAGGTCTGTCTCAGGAGAGTTGCATAAATTGCTTCCGTAGCTTGATTATGCCAGCTTCATCAAAATCCTCTTCTGATGTTCTGTTAATTTACCCAAGTAAACAAAGGCAGACAAATTACATCTTAATGACAACGCAATTACCTGAAATTGCATTAATGGCTCACTCTGGGAGATTTGCACAGCAATCGTAGAATTGCTCTGCATTCATTACTGTTATTTTTTTGAAAAGGTTGTGTTGTCGCTGCGGTTTTAACACTAGTGGGGGGTGCAGGGGATGGATCAAATTCTTCCGGGTATATGAAAGGAGATTCCTAGGTTTTTCAGTGTGATGACTTCATGATGATTGTAGCCTTAGCAAACTTTAATAGCATTCTCACAAGATCCCAGTTCTGTGCAAGCAAGCTTTTTCTGTACTTAAAGTGGGAAGAAGTTTGCATTCCGTTCAGCTTGACTTTTTCTTCTGCAAATGATTTCCCCAAAGGGAGTGACGTTTCTTAAGGCATAAAGTGAGAACTTTTTTAAAAAATTGATAACTTCATTCCTTCATGATCAAGACAATGTGGAAAAGCAAGTGGGTACAAAGTGTCTGATACCCCTTTTTTTCAGCTGCTATTTTCTCTCACCAGCAGCAGAATTCAGGGAAAGGACAGGGGACCCTTGCCCAAGTTGCAAAGTAATATCCATAATCAAAATCTATCTATATATAAATGGCTGTGTGTGGGTATGTTCCAGCACAACTCTGGAACGCCTCAAGCAATTTCAACTAAACTTGGTACACAGATGACTTACCCTCTGGAAACAAATACTGTGGAGGAAGACAGCCCTAAAACCCTTTGATGTGTGTGTTCTGTTAAGATACAGCCTGTTGTGCCTTAAAATGGCTTCTACTGTGCAGCACAGTGAAATTGCCATGGTGACGACTTCACAGTACTCCACAAGGGGGCTTCCTGTAGTAAGAAGGAAAATCCAACATTAGAAATTACGTTTGGACATTTCCCCCCTATCAATAAANGGACTGCTTGTGCACATGCCCCTCTTGCAGAAGTCAACGCAGGAACTAATGTCGGAGAACATTATGGTGAGCTTGGAAGGCTGGATTGCTGCCAAGCCTTATCTGTGCTGGTTTGCTGCCAAGGACCTGTCTGTCTGTTAATTAAATGCTGTAACTTATCTTTGGCTCGGAGTGTGTGTTGGTGTGGGACGAGGGGGGTCAGAACACATTTCTATCTCTCCTTGTCTCCTATTAGGAAAAAAAAAGTATCATATCTGTGAGTATCTGATTTCTGAAGAACCACAATTCAAAAGCCGTAGATTGAATTTGATTTCTAACAGGCATTCTGTTCCGTCCCAACTTTAATTCATGTCCATTTGGACAGATGCTTTATTTCCAGGCTTCTATCAATATAAGAATTAGTAAAGTAGGACCATGGATAGCTCCCAATAGAATTTCCCAAACGATATTAAATTCCTTTTATAAGGATGAATAATGTAACAGCTGAAGCAGCCTGAGTGACAACTGAAATTGTGGGGCTGGGCAGATTTTTAAGGAGCAGTTTCCTTGCTTGGAGACTAACATTTTGGCATCACCGGGAATCTCCCAAGTGTAGCCTCTACTATATTTATATGGTAGTTATAGGTACAGGTTTAAGTAGGTTGAGATTGGATTCTGAACTGAAGTCATTACCATGTCATTGCCATGTGTCTGATAACCTTCAATCTCCATAAAAGTCGTTAAAAGAGGGTGGTGATGATTGGGTAAGGTTTGACTCGTTGACTTGTTGGCACATAGTTGGCACATCAATGCCTTATAATTATTAAGATCAAAACCTACACAAATTCTAAAGATGTTGACTCAGAAGTAAGTGCTACTGCATACAATGGGATTTACTATCAAGTACATTCACTTAAGGCTGTTAGAAAGATAACAATTCAGAACAATTCATTTAATTAACCAAAATATGTATCTACATCAGAATCCATACTTTTGAGTATTTGGATATAGGTTGTCATTCTGTCATGAGTATAAACATCTATGTATAAGCATAAAATGTATTAATGATAGAAGAAACACGCTTGAAAATGTGTCATACTAGAACATATACTTACGGAGATATGTGTATTGCAAGGAAGATGTGTGTATTGCATGTGTAGAAATATTTGTGCTGATTTCTACAAAATAAAATTGTCAACTACTGTAAAATGGACAGAATTAATATAATGCTGAGAGAAACAGATTTGTCAATCCCGAACTGTAACTTAGTATTTTATTTAGTTCCCGCAGATAAAGCGCTTGCAAGGAATCTATAACTTAAATAAATTTAAATATAACATTTTTTAGCTTGTGCTATAAACAATTGTAACAGTATGAAAAAAGTTTATGGAAAGGAATGCTGATTTGTCCTGTTATATGTTTACAACAGATTTCTGAACATTTTTTCAGTGCCCTTTAACTTAATATAATTTCTACTTTAAAAAAACACAAAAGAAACCAATACAAACAAACACAAAATGAGGGAGAAAAAAAAGAAAGAAATAAAAAAAGCAAATATGAAATCAAAAAGTGTAAAAACAAAAAAAATAGGAAATAAAGGAAAATGATATAAAGAAGTGGTTTCCTATATTTTTCATAGCAGTTATGAGGTCAATTATTTTTAACACTTTTCTCTAAAGTTATTGCATGAATCATGATATTCTTCTTTCTACAATCTGTCTATAATCACAAGTTTATTTTTTTTAAAAAAATTACTCCCACAAAAAACCTATAAGAGATTTCAGTCACCAACACAGATAGTGTCTTTTTTTAAATCAAATATTTTATCTGCCTTAGCAAGATCTGTGGATTTCATCAACCATTCTTTCATAGTGGGTAGTGTTTATAAGAAGTTATCACCCAGCCCTCTCCCAGAAAAATGAAATATCCTAGGAAATATTGAAAAGGCAGAATATTTCTCTGGATGTGAAAAAG